CCGTGCGAAGATGCGTTTTTTGCAGAGTTCCCCGCAGTTTTTGTCGCTACCGGCATCGTTTTTTTTTCGGCAGATGCTTATAGTTGAATGAATTTCAGACTGGCCGCCAGAACTGTCAGGAAACATGCACTTTTAACAACAGAGTTCCACTTAACAGAACTGCAAAAGCGTTCGCTGGACAGGGTTGCAAAAAACGCATGTTTACGCCAGCTACCCTGGCGTGCAGCGCCATTTACTTTATATGTGAAAGCGGAAGTGATTGATAGTGATAATCATTAGTTATATATAATTATTATTATCACTATAATAATGACAACAAAAAAGACGTCAATGATGGTTTTAGTAAAGATAATGTTTGGAAAAGTGGTGGAGGCAAGGTTTCGAGAAACACAGCCGCGAGAGAAATTTTTGAGCACGACTGGAAACTTTTGGATGTTAATCAAGGTTTTTTTGAGCAAACCCTAAAGTTTGCTTCAAGAAGAAGTGAATCGTTGGAAGAAGGAAAAGGAAATGAAGAAAAGAAAAAAGAAAAAGAAGTAAAAAAAGAAAATGTACCCTCTAAAAACCGTGACCGGAGTTTACATCGTTGAATAATTAGTTTCCGAAAGGCAGTTATTACCCTTTTTTCTGAACGCAGGGAAGTTATTACCCCATTTCCTGATCGTAGGACAGTTATTGCCATTCCTTGTAAGCTTGGGGCTGTTGATGACAAGAAGCTTTTATTCGCCGTTTATTATTTTGGAATATGTGACACGGAGTAATACCGAACTTCATAGGCTTTGAATGAAACAGCACTGTCATAGAATCGTTTATTCACACAGCTCAACAACTACTTGATACATTCAGTGAATTCGCAAAGTGACAATCTGACAAACTGCATAATGGCGTCAGCAAATGACATAACAAGTTCAACAAATGAGATATGTGATAAGGATACTACTCGGGAGCGAAATGGCGGGCTTGGCTAGTTGATCCATGATTTGAAATGAAACAGGCTCTGGGAACCAGTTCATGGACCGAAATGTGATGGATTCGTTCAAGCGGTTGATCCACGAAGAGCAATTCGAGAAGCTAAGTTTAATGGATAAAACACGGAACAGTTGTGGAACGAAAGTAACATGAGATAAGCGTAGGAGTAAGACGGTTTTTCGTTTGCGAACCATATTTCAGCAGTAACAGCAGCATTAAGAATAGCGAGATTTCCAAGTTTCCAAATACAGCCACCAAGTAGGATGAATTGAAATTCATTCATTCTGCCACAGACTTGCTCTTGACCAAAACTGCCCAAATGTATCTGACTAAAGAGTGGTGAACAGCAGTAGCAGCAGTCGAGCAAGCATCGTCCTCATCCCGAAGCATTCCTTTTTCTTGATTTTTGGATAAGCCATTTTGCACATGACGAGGCTCTTTGTCCGCTTTTTTTTTGATTTCTTCGGCAATTTTGTAGCATTTCTTTCTGTCTTCGCCTTTTTCACAACGTATGCATTCGGCAGCCAGTTGATCCACGAACGTTAATTGATGGGATGATGTATTGGTGAATATTCTTTGCTCATCTTTTGTCTTCATCAACATCTCGTAACATTCTTGATTTCATCCAGATAGCTCTCACTGATAACTAATGACAGCACTGTTTTTTTTAAGTGAATTATCGCAGTCGTTCACATGAAGCGTACTTCAAAAATTCGATCCGTCGCACTCTGTTTCCCGCAAAAAAAGTAGTGCGTTCATATAACTCCATGCCTCATTCCTTTTCCATGATTTTTGGATATGCCATTTTGCACATGACGAGGCTCTTTATCCGCTTTGTTTGTCATGCTTTATAATAAGGGGCAGTGCCAAACCCGCGAATTTCTTCTCACTGCTGAATCGTCCAACTGTGGCGCCTTCCAACTACCGCATGACAATCTTCGTTGCTTAAAAGCGTGGCTTCTTTTTCGCATTCACATTATTTCGTATTGTTGTGAAAGCGCGAAGCCCTCGCAGCAGTTTCCCACTTTGTTTCCACGCGCTTGTTGGGTCGTCGGCCACATGCTTTTTCCCTCAGGCACTTTTTTTCGGGCAGTTGATAATTCCAGCGTTTCAGCACCCTTTTTTCTCGGCCTTGCAAATCCTTCTGCGCTGCCTTTCAGAGTGGTTCCTTCGAATTTCAGACCCTCAGATAGACAACCCACACTGCACAACCGGCTTCGCTGAAGAGATTCGGAAACACTAAAAGCCAAGCGATTTCCTTTGCTTATATTAGAGCTTCCAGCTGGCCTGTATGCTAATTTGACTGGCACTTTTGGGCAAATTTCTTTATGCAAATTTTGGTAGCAACTGTTATTTTTATGAGCCCTCAACAGGATATATTTGCATAGAGATTAATATCCGTCTGGTAAAATATTAGTGAAATATTTATGGATGTAAAAATTGACTCTACAGGGGCGGAGGAAAGGGGGAGGGGGGCGAGGAGCTTAACTGGCTTACGTCATCGTGCTCTTTGGCTTATTCCATTATCCGGTACGATGTGTTTTTCATGTGAAAGAGCGATTGGTTCACTCTGAGTGTAGACTTTACGGGATCTTGGTGAAGATAACGCGAAAAAGCGAATCCGCGAAATTTTCCCGCTCTTCGAACAAACCACACTTTCCCAGTCCAGTCCAGTTGCATCTGTTCTGTCTTTTTGGAACATATGGAAGCAAGAAAAGACTGTGAATTTTTTTAAAATTAGCCAAATACGAAAATCGCTGATTATCACTGGTTTCAACTTATCTTGTCCGAAAAAGCTCAAAATCCCATTGGCACTCATTACGATTGCTGTACTAGCGAATATGGCGCAGATCCCACACAATTCTCGCCTCAAAGTAAGACCTCAGCTTCTTTTCAGTCAACAACCCCGTCCACTGGCGGATCCAGGGGGAAGAAGGGGCAAGGGGGGAGGGCCGAGGGGCTTTCCCGCCTCCCCAAAAGCTTAGCTAACAGTTGTTTTACTGTACAAAAGTCTGCTCGGTACTCTCTGTTGCTTCCCTTTACAGGAGCCTTGTCAGTCTCAGTTTAGTGTCCACTGGTGAGAGTGGGAGAAGGAGGAGGAGGTGCTAGACATGTGAGGGAGGGTGAGGGAGGGGGTGGGGAGAGTGGCGCGACGATTAAAGGATGGGCGGGGAGCTGGCCGAGGGAGAGGGGGGAAGGTAGTGTGGGAGGGAGAACGGAGGGTGAAAAACCACTCAGCTCAGCAGACCACCCTGGACCCGCCCCCGACCCCGCCCTCTACCTCTCCATCGTGCCCCCTTCCGCGAGTCGGTCGAGGTTCAGTAGTTGCTGTCGTCAATCCCTCGCAACCCGACAATTCTTCGATCCGGCGCGAGTTCAGGCTGGTTTTTCCCCAGAAATCATCGGTTTTTCGAAGTCGCTGGTTCTTGCGGGGAGTTTTTTGTCCCTTTTTTTCATCAGATCTGAATTTGGGGTCGGTGGGACCCTGCTGTTGGTGCCGAATGACGCTTTGAACACATTTGCGCGACCCATGTCATCTGCGCAGTTTTTTCCGCTATCCCATCTCAAAATTATTCGAAGCTTAAATACGTGAAACAGCTCTTACCTGGATCTCCATCTTTGTTTCCTCTTTCTCTTTACTACTATCTGCAGTTTTTGCCTCGAGCTCCTGACTTGTATCCTCGTTCCGCTTCTTTACTCTGTCCTATGAAACTGCTGGTAACTTTTCTGGAGTTGCTTTGACCGGTGCTGCATCATCTAGTGATCCAGTATGCTGGCAATGCTAACGTTTTGAGGCGTTTTTTGCAGCTATGCAATGCAAAAATGCATATTGACGAGGGGTTGTCTGTGTCTCCGTATGTCTGTGTTTGCATCTGTCAAGCAGTTTCATCTCAAGACCTATAAAAGCTGCAGGGCTGAAATTTCGGGAACTTAATCTGCACGCACGTGCCGACTCCAATCCCCAAAATGGGCACAATCATCCGCGTGGTACCTGCGTACGGGCCGCCAAAATTTTTTTCGGGTAAGTTCATAACTCGAGGATCTGAGAAGCTAGAACGCTCTTAGGAGGAAGTTGTCTGTCCAAGTGAGTATTAACGAGTTCAAACCCTGCCCGCGGGTAAGCGTGGTACCTACGTACGGGACTGTGAAAGTTCCTTCCGGGTAAGTTGCTAACTCGAGGACGTGAGAAGCTAGAAGACTGAAATTTTGAG